ACAGACAGACAGACAGACAGTGTGTCAGCTCTCACCTTGAGGTCCTCTCACTTCTAACTGAGAGTCACACAAGACACCTTCCTGAACTCAGATTTAAATTCCCACAGCCACATCAAATCCTCGTCCACCCTGTACTGACTTCAACCTTAGCTCTTAAACTCCATTTTGAATCATTTCAAATGATTGTAAATAATTTAATAATCAGTTTTACCTTCTATATCTTATCTCTTTGCTCTCTCATTGTAAATCTGAATCCTTTATTATGTTTCATATGTCACTGCTCTGTAGATCCCTCTGAGTGTCCCCCGCTGTGTGAAATGTGCAACGCAAATAAGCTGCCTCGCCTACTTCGCCATCTAGTGGTCAAAACTCATAATGCAGGACGGGTTGACAGGTGGTGTCCCTCAGTTCACACTGTGGTGCTGCAGCAGACGTCACTGTAACTCTCCACACTCATTTTATTAATAACAACAATTAACTTTGTTTCTGCAGCACCTCTAAATAAAACAAGGACCACAAAAACTTCTTGCAAAGGTTATAAATTAAAGTTCTGCAGAGTCTCATTATAAAGCCTCATTTAAAGGACTGTGCAGCTGTCAGCAGAGGTGTGTTCTGTGTGTGTGTGTGTGTGTGTGTGTGTGTGTGTCCTTTAGTTCAGTGTTCAATGATGTAACTGTGGACTGGGGTGACACTGAGGGAAGGATACGGTGTACAAGAGGCCGTCCGATGTACACAGACTCGGCGAGCGTCTCCTGGAGCCCCAGCTGAGTCGGTTTGTTGTGGAGCTTCTCTTCATTTAAGCTGCTCCTCCTCTTCGTCTGACTCGGTGCTCCCCACAGCCGCGCCTGCAGGGAGGGAGCTGACACACAGCAGAGACCAGAGGAGGTGAAGAAGAGGATGAGTTCACCGCGAAGAGTCAGAGAATACAACAGTGATTTACAGTGAGGTCACTCTCTGTTAAACATGGTCCCAGGGTCAAGTTCAGACCTGGTTTGAAAACTTGAAACACAACGATTAAATCAACAAAACAGCTGATTTACATTTTCTTTGTACTTAACAGGCGGCAGACATTTTGTCATCGTTTGTCACGAGACAACCTGTAGGGCGTTCACTGTTCACAGCTCAGTTTGTTTTCCTCTGTTTTATTGTTTATTTACTCACTGATGGATCATGATCACTGACTGTAGTTGTTGACTTGTTGTTCTGTGTTTTATTTAAGTCTTATGCTGTTACGTGACGGTTTGTTTTTTTGTTTACCTCTGTTTATGAAGACACATTAGTTCCACCTGCGTAGTTCCTACTCGCTGCATGCTGAACGCAAAAAATGCAAAGTGATATCTGTTTAAAATGTGTCCGTGGGCCATTGTTGGCTCCGAGGCCGGACTTTGGACACGCCTGCAGTAAACAATGACAGCAGGTGTGTTTCTATCCAACTCTTTTTATGCACATTTTCAGTTTGCAAATAAAGAACCCTGAGTGGAGGCAACAGAGTGTTAATGAAGGTTAGACAAACATTTAAAGACCACTTTTCATTCCTCGTAGGAAGTTTTTATCCAAACGTCAAACCTCTTGGCGACTCGAGAGCAGTGCAAACACTGTTAACACAACTAAACGGCTAAATTTGTTTCATGAAATGTGTTAAAGTTGATGTTTGGTTGTTAATAATCCACCTTCTGAGTGAGAGAAGAGATAAAGGACTGTCCTTTATCTCTTCTCTCACTCAGAAGGTGGGGGAGGAGTCATCTGTTGTTTTTCTGTGAGGTAGTGACAGAAGCTGATGTGACCATGAAACCTAAACAGTCTTCACAGCAGCGTACGTGCAGCCTGGCCTTCTGCCATCATTCAGCTCCAAGTGTTTCTGGTACTTAGGAGCTTTTGTTTGGACGGAAACGGGATATTTCCTGTTTCAGATCCCGTCACGAACCCGACACCAACACTCAGTCACACTGAAGCTTAATAAGCTCAAATGGCTCTAATATTAAGGCACGTGAAACTTTAAAGAATCTGATATTTGAATGTAAAGTTCGATCTGGTCTCACCGCTGCCTAGTGGTCTGATGACACGTCCTGACCTCTGACCCACGAAGCAGGTGTCACCTGACTGCTCCCTGTTCCCATCATCTGCGGAGAAGAGGAAAGGAAACACAGTTTAATCTCATTCGGTGCTGACACTAACATCACTGAGTTTAAAGCAGCACAGGTTGATTTTTTTCACCACTTTGAGGTGAATTTAATTGTAAACACATTTATAACCTTAAAGAAGTGTTATGGTGACGGACAGAAAGAGGAAGAGGAAGAGAGGATAACTGACCTTCACTGGCAAATTCTGCTCCTCTGTCGAGGGGGATTATGGGAGGCGAAGTCTGGATGCCAGATTTGTACCACAGAAGAAGCACAAGGCGAAAAACTGACCTGAAGAAAATGTGGTCAGAGAGAGGAGACAGATGATGTCACACTGCTACAGGAAGTGGGCGACTCTTATGACAACAAAAAACCTCTTAAAACTTGAAACAATTCAAATCAACACAATAATAAATGATATAAAACAAAGCAGACTTTAAACTGAGCTACTCTTTTTGTGTATTAAAGATCTGTTAATGCTGATAAACTACACGGTCAAAAGTATGTGGACACCTGTATGCGACAGCTGAACATCAACATTGGAATAATTTATACCTGCCGTCACCGTCCTCATTTTAGTCTTTCTAAAAGATTTGAAGCTTTTGATTTCCTGGTCCATCTGCGTCCCAACCCTCACCTATGGTCATGAGCTCTGGGTAGTGACTGAAAGAATGAGGTCACAGATACAAGCGTCTGAAATGAGTTTCCTCTGTAGGGTGTCTGGGCTCAGCCTTAGAGATAGGGGGAGGAGTCAGACATCTGGAGGGAGCTTGGAGTAGAGCTGCTGCTCCTTCACGTTGAGGTGGTTCAACATCTGATCAGGATCCTCCTGGTCCAGCTGGTAGGAGGCCCCGGGGCAGACCCAGAACACACTGGAGGGATTATAGATCTCATCTGGTCTGGGAACACCTCGGGGGAGAGGGATGTCTGGGGTGCTTTGCTTGGCCTGCTGCCCTCGAGATGCGGCTCCGGATAAGAGGATGAAGATGGATAACAGATTTTAAAACCTGCTGCAGAGAGTTGCTTCCATTCAGACACCAGAGCTACAAAGATTAGTCCATAATAGATTAGCCAATCAAAAAGGTGCCTCTGGTGTAGTGGTTAGAGCACTTGTCTTCCATGTGGAGGGTCCAGGGTTCAAATCCTGCTGGGGTCGACGCCGCCAAGGGCATGTGGCCGCAACCACCACTGAAGCAAATGAGATCAGATTCCTTAAGGAGGCTTCAGGATAAGAGAGTAACTCTGGAACCTGAGCTGAGCCCACGACAGGGCCGCGTCTCAAGCCTTTTGTAGACGGGAGGTTCCAGGGGACGCTCTCATGCTGAAACAGGACAGGACCAAACCGTTGACCCACAGTTGGAAGCACACCATTGTCTAAAATATCACCCAAACTGCTCAAACACAAGCACACAGTCTGTTTCCACATATTTTTGCCCATGTAGTGTACGTTCATTTTGTCATTTTAAATGAAGACATTGAGAAAGAGATGAAGCTGAGTTCAGGTCACCAGAGGGCAAAGCCGTACTTAAAAATCTGAATGAGTCCGATCACCAGCCAGCGGCCGACGTCTCCCCACAGCTTACAGGCTCCCATCTCCAGGAAGACTTCCATGTACTCCAACACGGAGAGCCAGGTGAGGAGTCTCTGCTGAGACAGAGACTGAACACACAGCGGGAGCATGAGTCACAACTTCAACCTTCAGTCTACACGTCACTTTACTGCCATCAGACTGTTAGATGGAGAAGAGCTTCAGCCTGGAACAACCTGCCTCGCTGACACTGCTGTGAGCTGAGACACTGAAGGTGCATGAATGTTTATCTGTTAGCTGCTGTGTGTGTGTCTGTGTGTTTGTGTCGTACTGTCTGAACACAAATCAGTAGTGTTGAGTCAAATACTGAATGAAACAAGTATCTGGTGCAGGTACTTTACTTTTTACAAGTCCAAGTATCATCCGAGTACATTTTGTCACTATTTATACATGTGATGGAGTAAAATCCTCATTTGGGAGTTCAGTCTCACTCTTGTGTTAAAAATGATCTGAAGCTCAATGGTGAGGCTGCAGGAAGCATTTATGTAAATAGATCTGAGCTGATTGGAGAACAGTCGAGCGGTGCTCACCACAGGGAAGGCACATCTCAGCCCTTTGCGCAGAATGCTGTCGTTAAACAGCACCAGGAGGTTGGAGGCAGAGTACACTGAAATAAACACAAAGTTTATCAATATATATTCATCATGCATCATCCTTTGTACAATCATGCAGTGTTGGGGAAGCTACTCTGAAAGCTACCTATGATTTTACACATGAAGAAGTTGAACTACAGCAAAGCTGCCCGAGAGGGAAATCCTTATGATCTGGTTAACCAAAGCTGCTGCAAAAAAGAAGTTCAAACTACTTTGTAAAAGCTGATCAAATTGAAAATGTACATGTGATACGAAATTATAACGAAGTACACTAAATAAAAATTTAAATCCAACACTTTTGTTTTTGCTCCCATTATCACAGGTTGAAGTTAAAGATTTGAGACGTTTTCATTCACTCAGTAGACACATTTCTTTTCAAATTCTGGACACAATTTGTTAAAATCTGTTTCAATGAGCACTTTTTCTTTTCCAAGAACATCCATCCATCTGACAGGTGTGTCTGATGAAACAGCATCGTTACTACACAGGTGTGTCTCAGGATGGTCACAATAAAAGGACTCTCTAAAATGTGATGTTTGATCACAGCACAGTGACACAGAGGGTTTGATTTTGTGAATTTGGCAGTACAAGCGCAGACCACGTGTAACCACACCAGCTCAGGACCTCCACATACAGCGTCTTCACCTGCAGGATCGCCTGCTCTGGTCTGCAGTTGTGAGGTCAGTTCGATGTAGGGGTGAGGAAATAATCGATTTTTAGATGCATCGAGATTCTGTCTTGAACGATGCGAGCATCGATTTGGAAAACTCAATCAATTTTATTTTCATTTTTATTTTTCAAATTACCGTAACTCCTCAACCATTCACACTATCGACGTAATTCCAATGGATTCTGAAAGCGATATATACGGTACATTACGGTAGTGACGTCATTACCTGTGGAGGAGGGGAGGGAATTGAGCACAGCAGGAGGAGAGTGACAGCTGACGAGGAGAGTGCAAGTTGGAGAGATTTAGCGGAGTCTGGGTGGCGTTTTCTTTGTAAATAGTGTTGTAAATAATAGTATTTGTGTTTTTTTGAGAGCTTTTGAGTGTTTTCGTCGTGTTTTCACCATAGTTCGTAGTTTTGCCATCGTTCGTCTTTTTTGCAATAGTACGTGTTTTTATAGTTCATAGATAGAACTATAGTCAGTTATAGTTTTGTAAATACTGGAGGAGAAATGTCGAGGAGGTCGACGAGGGACAGGAGAGTCCCGCTGAGATTTGTGGATGAGCAGGATGGACCGGTGGAGTGTAGTCATCTCAACCACAGTAAGTAATAGAGTTTGTATGCACTGGATATGTATTCCCAGCTTTATTACAATAATGTTGTTCAATATCTAGTGTAAATTTTCTTATTGGCTTGTTTTATAATCAAGAATCGTTTTATAATCGAAATCGTTGCCCTCGGAATCGGAATTGAATCGAATCATGAGGTGCCTAGAGATTCCCACCACTAGTTCGATGTACAACCAGATTCACAGAAACAACATTGGAGACGTTTTATGGTGGTGGAATAAACATTCATTCGACAGTCAACAGCTCTGGTGGACATTTCTGCAGTCACGCTCCATCTGTGTCACTGTGCTGTGATCAAACATCACATTTTAGAGTTTCCTTTTATTGTGACCATCCTGAGACACACCTGGTGGTGATGCTGTTCCCATCAGGTGCATGATTATCTTTGAAAAGGAGAAGAGCTCACTGACACAGATTTTAACACATTTGTGACCAAAGTTTAGAGACATGTATCTACTGAGTGAATAAAAAGTCTCTTTAAGATCTTAAACTTAAACCTGTGAAAAATAGGAACAAAAACAAAAGTGTTGCATTCACACTTGGACAGGTTGAGTCTGTTAGACCCATTTTATTCTCTGGGTTTTAATTGTTTTTGACATGTTTTCTTTTTTAATCAGATTTGCTGTGTTTACACTGTGTTGAAACTAGTTTTATTTTAATCTGGTTTAACTCATCTCTGCACAGTTACGTCTTTGCTTGTATGTGCTTGTATATGTCTGTCTTTGGTGCACGACCTGTTTTGTTTTTAAAGTGCTATATAAATGACATAAACTTGAAACTTTAAACATATTTCTTCAGTGTACATTAAAGCTGATACTGGTGTGATACTGTGTCTGTGATGAGCTAACTGGTTTCCTTTGTTTCCTTACCTAGTTCAGATATTTCATGGGAATCTGCAAATCGCCCTGAAAAACACGAGTCATGACATGTTGTTCATTAGGTGCTGAAGAAAAAGGGCAAAACAAACAAGCAGCTGGTTTCATGTTTTTACAAGTTCAAGGGATAGTTCAGATTTTCTGAAGTGAGGCTGTGAGATGCATTTATCCATAGTCAGTGTTGATGTCAGTCAGCACGTCTCCAGTTTGGAGAAGCAGACTGGAGTCTGACATTAAAGCTAAGCAATGTGCTGCTGTGGACGGCGTCAGTGACACAACAGACTATCTTGTAAATCAAGACTTTGAAAAATGGGACAAACACACAACTGAAGTCCTACACACTGAGATTTGTATACTCAGAGTCCAGCGGAACACCCCTAACAATGGATACCGAGCTGAACTCTGCTAATTTCCACTTTAATTACGATTCAAAAAAGAGCAATCAAATTCTACAAACAGCTAAAAACAAGTGACTCCAACTCCTCCCATTACAGAGAGGAGTCCTCTCAGTCAGCTGGTCCTGAGGCTCACCTCCTGCGTCAGCACATCAGGACGACCCTCACACAATCCAGCCCAACTTAACTATAGCTAAAGAAAGAGAAAACTCCATCAGCTGTTGGACATCTATCACAAAAAAACCCAAAACACACTTCAGTGCTGTTTGTCCCTAAACAGACAGAACACGATGGCAAACTATCTGACCGCTGTGACACATCAGAAACTGAGAAAGACACTGACTATGCACAGACTCAGTGATGTCACAGCCTGGACGTAGAGACAGACAGACACAGGCAGAGGACAGGCCGTGTCCTCTCTGTCCTCAGAGACAGGTGGAGACAGAGCAACACTTCCTGCCACAGTGCAGCACATATGAGGACATCACAACAAAGTTCTTCACAAGAATTAAATGTAAACTCCAAGATTTTGATTCACTCTCTGACCAGACTGACATGATGTCACATCTGTACACGTAGGTGTGAATGTGAGTGTGAATGGTTGTCTGTCTCTATGTGTCAGCCCTGTGATAGTCTGGTGACCTGTCCAGGGTGAACCCTGCCTCTCACCCAGTGTCAGCTGGGATAGGCTCCAGCCCAGTGTCTAACAATATTGGTGGCCAATTTTTTACATTATAATCTAAACTTTAAAGATAATTTTTAAATTTTTCTTTGCGAAAATTAATAAAATGCTGAGATATAGGCCTACTTTTTCTTAGAGTTGTACCGATACCAGTATCGGAAATGCCTCCTACAATGCCTAAAATGCCAGGTATCAGCGAGTACAGCCTATGACCAATCTGATACCACAGAATGCCTCACGTCATTACGTATGCGCACGCTACAGGCAAACGAAACGGAAACGGAGCCGAGCTTAAAAAGCATTCTACTGTAGCCTTTAAAATGTCTTTTTACCAAATTGTGTGGCTGCACTTTAACCTGTGTCTTGATCTGTGTCAACACTGGATAATAATAATAATAATAAAAAAAAGTTTTATGGCATTCATTCTACTATTATGTATTCATTTCTTAATATTTTACACAGAGTTTTAGGAGTTGAGACATACAACAATTCATAGCCCATTCATTTTTTTTACGTGCTAGTATCGGATCAGTACTCGGTATCGGCAGATACCTGAGGTTCAGGGATCGGTATCGGGAAGGAAAAAGTGGTATCTCTACTTTTATTAATTAAAATGAAAAATGAATAAACAAATGAATGCTTAAGATTAATTTAAAAAAAAATCATGGACATAAAGTGTAAAGAAAAAAACTAATGAAATAATGAAATAAATGACTAAATAAAAAGTAAATAAAAAATAAACATAGATAGTGTGAGTTGTGAGGAGATGAACTCCAGCTGTGTTGGTTCGTGTAGAAGCACCTCATATAACGCACTTTAGAAAATCTGAACTCTTCCTTTAAAACGAAACTAAACTCTGATCTGGAACAAAGTTATCTGCAGTTAGATCTGAAGTTGAGCTTCACGCAGTGACTGACAAATATATATTGTATATAGTCCTTGACGCAGTGTGCCATGTTGTTCTGCATTATTAACATGAGTAAACTGCTGCTGTCACTGACCTGCGATCAGGTAAGACAGGGTCCTCACGGTGCTCTCCAGCTGAGCTGTGGCGGCTGGATTTCTCTTCACATACTCGGTGTAGCGCTCATAGACCCGGGTCAGTTTCTCCATGGACTCTTTAAGGTTCGACATTTTACCTCTAATTTACTGCGCACTGATAAATAACGTTACACTCCGCATTTAACCGCTGAGTTTAAAATATAACACCTGTACGGGGCAGGTTTTTAGTTTGAAGCACATCCGACTTCCACAACACAACACAAACTTCCGCCGCCTGAAGGAACCGTCAGTTATTAACGTCCCCCCGCTCTCAGGTCCGAACACAGTGGTTCCGGTTCCTACTGTTAGTATATAGCACCCGGGTTCTTCTTCCGGACACGTTATTGTTGCATCAGCATCCAACCCTGCAGCACTATGGCTATGTCGACCTCAGCAGAGACAGGTACAGTCACTTATGTTTGGCTTTGTTTTACCGTGTGTGTGGACACGTTAGCTGTGAAGCCGAGAGGACGCTGAGACAGCTCGGGTTAATGTGTGTCTCTACAAAGTGTCACAGTTAATAAGCTAACGTTAGCTCTGTTAGCTCCATGGTGCTGAAGCTAAAGGTAACCGGGCAGTGAATGACAGACCAAAGCCCCTTAAACTATCTGATCATTTAAAGTGTCAGCAGGTCAACAACACCTGACAGCTGCTCTGAGTGAAAACTGTCAGCTCATAGTTATTAATATTTTATATGCTGTTTGTTTGGTGTGTAAAAGAAAACTGAACCAAGCGCCTGTGATGAAGTGAAAATCTGTGGACTGATGAAAATGAGTTAAAGCTCATCGTTTATCAGAGCAGCCAGAGTGTGTCATGTTTTATTATAGAAATAAAATGCAACAGGGCAAAACAGGCTGATGTGACCACAACACTGTAAACTATATATGACCCGAAATAAATAAACATATTTATTCTGTTTCAATTACTGAACTGCTGCAGCTCTAATAACGGCTGTGTCCACATCTGGGCAGATGTTATTTTAGACCTGGTTGGCTGTTGATATTTCCAGGAAACATTAATACCAATAAACATAAAAACAATAATAATAATAATAATAATAAGAGTTTATTATCTATACCTTAAATTTTTAATTTTTGTTTTTGCTTTCAGTTGTGCTCAGTTGCATCATCCAGATTGATCCGTTAACTTTCTGTTTGACAGTTTCACCT